GTCCCCATTTGGGGGGGGGGGGGACAAGTTCTCCAGGCTGCTTCCAGGGGTTGTGCTTCCAAATAATTCAAACTGCCAATGTCGTCTCAGATATTGGGTGTTCATCTGAATTCAAGCCTGGCCTCGGTGAATTTAAATTCCGGGAGCTGGGAAACTTGAAACACTTTGTCCCTCCTAAGGCGTATGAGAGTCAATGGTTTCGACAACCGCCAGTTGGTGCGTAACAGAACCGCCTCAGTCGATGCCACATCATCAATTTTTTTTTTCAGAAGCATTTTGAACAGCCGTATGTAATTCAGGGCAAAATGCGGCAGTACCAACCCTGGCTTTTGTGTCTCTGGCTACTGTCGACTCCCATTTGTTGTGACGACTCGGTGGCCCAGTCGATATGCGATGCACCGGGTCGAGGGGATTTGTTCACTTGTCCCTCTCGAAACAATGGCTGGCTACAAGGCGATGGCTGGCTGGAAGGCGATGCCTGTCAGGAAACTGGGTCGGCCAAGTTCTGCAGCTATACAAAGGCATCCTTCAACGATGATTTTGGTGTATCTTTTGTGACGACACACAAGCGTTTGGATCAAGTATCCTCCTTGTCTGCATTTACAAATATTGAGACCAAAAAGCCTTGGAAGAACGCCAGTCCAGCCTACCATGAAGAGGAGATTTCTGGAAAAGGCGTTGGGCTTGTGGCAACCCGTCGCATTGCAGCGGGAGAACTTGTGCTGGCCCGGACGCCGGCTGTACTGGTAGACAACGAGGCCTTTACGGAGTTGGGGGAGGGTTCACTCACACGTCTTCTTGTGCAGGCCATAGAGGCTCTACCACAACAACACCAGTCGGAGTACCTGAAGCTTACCACGCATGACGAGGTTCAGAGTCACGATGAACGGATCTATAAAGTCTTTGCCAAGAACAATTATCGGACAAAGATTGCCAACACATCTGACTTCCACGCGACATTCATAGATGGTATGTTCTGATATCTGTCTGCGTTTCAGCGCCCCAACATTAACAACGGGTAGTGTCCCGATTAAATCATGACTGTCGTCCCAATTGTGGCTATCAATTTGACTCATCGACTCTCACCCAGAGGGTATATGCTGCTCGGGACATTCTCCCTGGTGAGGAACTGACAGTTGCGTATATTGAGTAAGTCAATCAAACACCAAGGAGACTTGATCCTCATGCGAGTGATTTACGCCTTGGCGGACTTTTAATCCAACGGCTTGTGTCAAGCACTGAACAAACGTCTCAGTCCTATTCAAACTCGCGATACACGTCAAGCTCAGTTGCAAACCAACTGGGGCTTCGCATGCACCTGTAAGCATTGCACCGGAAAAGAGGACGACATAAGCACATCGGATGAGAGGATGGAACGGATCCATAGCCTCTGGAAGGAGTTGGATGATTACACTGCAGCTTCCACTGCCACTCCGGCCAAGGCAGAAGAACTTGTTAGCCTCTACGAGGAGGAGGGACTCAAGACCCGAATTCACGAGGCGTACTACCGCGCAGCCATCGAGTACAATGCCGTGGGAGCCTCTGCAAAAGCTTCCAGGTTTGCTATGCTGAGCATCCTCAGGGGACAAATGATGGCTGGGTTTGACCGTCCCTTTGTGGAGAAGATGAAGGAGTTGGTGAAAGATCCCGAGAAGCACTGGAGCTGGAAATTTCGGCCACAAGAGCATGTGATAGATGAGTTGTAGATGTAATATGTAGAGGTAATAAACGGTGAGACAAGCTTCACTTGTCAGATTGGATCAATTTTTCAAGTTCACATGAATGTAAAGCTCACCTTGCCCTCCAAATTCTAAGCGGTTGTTGAACGCCCTTACTTGAAAAACCACTGCTGCGATACTGCGTACGTTGTTCAAAGGTTTTGCTCGGGCCCCAACCTGCTCCAGATGAAATAGCTGTCAAGGGTGAACTAAGTTCATATCAAGATATTCACATGTTCTATTGTATCGTTTCGTATTGTTGATCAAAAGAGAAATTTATCTACAAACTGAACAGCTAAACAGTCGGTTTGTATGTGGCCTCATGTTGCCTCAGTGACTCAGGCCGGTCACATTTGCCGGGAGGTCTTGGGTCGAAATTTGGCGAGGGGTCTGAATCTGAGTTAAGGTCTAATGGCGCTAAGCCCCTTTTGAGGTTCGTGAATGCCTTCACAACCCATACGGCAACCACACCAGAGCACAACGAAAAGATGATTTGCATCGCGAAGAAAACAAAAGAACCCATATGGCCACCATAATAGAGCATAACCAAACGATGGTAAGCTTCTCAAAGAATAATACAACAAGCAACGACATAGACGACAAAAAGGTCCTGGCCCGGATTTGAACCGGGGACCACTTGCAGACAGACATTGTTGTTGATCACCCTAAGCAAGTATCATACCCCTAGACCACCAGGACGCTTTATCAAGCTTTGGACCAGTTGTTGAAAACGAGAATTTCGAGAATATCATATATTAGAACTCGGGGGTTTGTAGCAAAAGTTGAAGATTGTGCGCTGGACTGAGTCGACGGCGGGCAAGCCTCGCTCCACCGCTGACTCGATCGGAATACGGATACACAGGTGAGGAAGAAATGGGTCCACCTGAGCACGACGCGTTGGAAATTGTAGACAGAGGAATCTTCCCTATGATTTAGTCAACGAAGCTCATCCCACAGAACAGTTGAGCATGAAAGCGGTGAGAATGATTTTGGGGGAACGCAACCTTTGCCCCAGCCAGGGTGTGATCAAGTTCAGAGAAAAGACGGTGTCAGCGTTCTAAATTGCAGCAAAAATCGTGCTCACATCGACACAAATTGTACACACTTTGCTCCGCCACCGTCAACTGAGCCCTATCACTGATCATGAAAGTTTTGCCGGTCGATGAAAAAACAAACATGTGTTGCGAATAACTTCGATTTCTGTTTGACTGTCAGTGAGTGAAGAGTCTCCAATGAGCCCCCGGCCTAGGTCGCCGGTACAAGTCCAAGAACGCCGAAGCCCTTCTAACCTTAAACTATCCCAAAGAGTGCGTGGTCCGTCCCAATGCGAAGCATCCATCCGTTTCCAGAGCGCCTGGTTAAAGACAGAGATAAAGGCATTTACAAAGCCGCGGTGCCCATCCACTACCTCTTACTGCTGGAAGCCATACCAATTCTCTCCATAGCGCCATCCACAACGCCGCGATCCAGTGTGGCCGCGCTACCGTGATCCTGTTGGGGCATCTCTCCAGAGGTCGCTTTGCCGGAAGCCGACGCAGAACCCTCCTCTGTTTGGGCGCGAACAACTTCCCATTTCTGTAGAGGCCCACTCATGCCGACCCAGAGATCGCCAGGAATGAAGCCCCCAACTTCTGTGGTGAACGTCTCTCGATCTTTCCAGTCAGATTCCACGAGCCGATCGACTTGCTCTTTGGCCTTGCGCCAGATATTGTGGATCTTTTCCTCTACAGCCCTCCTCCTCTCGACCTCGAGGATGAGGCTGTCGTACCCACTCGCGTAGCCCTCCCAGTGGTCCCGGAGGCGCTCCATGTCACCCAGCGTGGCAAAAATGGACTCCTTCTCATTGTTCCAGCGCTCCACGAATGCACTCGCTGCCTCAATGTAGGACTCTAGTCGCGAGCCAATGTCCTCTAGGATGCAGAAAGCCTGGATGACGGCCGCATAGGCCGCCTTCACTTGGTCCGACTGGTCCTGCAGCGAATTGAAATTCACCTCCACCTCCTGCAGGACTGTGCTTAGGTCTTCAACAACGCCATCTACATGGGGGGCATCGCGGATGACGGTGGTAACAACCTCGGCTCTTGTCCATGTCGAGACGTCATCTTCTTGCGCTCGTAGGACACCAGAGATGGAGACCGGGTTCGTTTCCTCTCCGACGTCCTTTTGTCGGGCAAGGGCTGCTCCGCCTTCTGTGATGCGGACGGCCTCGACGCAAATGTCGAAATGACGTGTAAGCTTGGTCAAATTGGTTGCCATGTAGTGTGATTGATCCGTCATGGACAAAAAGAGCTCGAGAATAGAGGGCGGGCTATTGTAATCGGTGGGGGACTTTTGCGACGACAGAGAGAGAGCATTGTTCAGGTTGCGCATGTTGTCGTCAAAATGGAAGAGGTCTGTTGAGAAGCTGGTTTGATTGGCCTAATTTATTAGTCCTCGTACAAACACCCCAGGCTGTCGACTCACCTGTAGTTGATCGATGCCCTCCTTTAAATCAGCGAGCATGATATGGACCTGATCCTCGCTCACGAAATCAAACAAATACTTGGGCGCCTCCCCTTCGGGTCTAAACAACGGATCGACGGGGATTTCCCGGAGCATGTCCATGGTCTTTTGCAGCTTGTCGTGCACCGCATCCATGGTGGGTGTGAGCTGCTTGAACTCTTTCTTGGAAGCATCGTATGTATGTATCATGTTGCGATGGACGCGCGAAAGCAGTTTGAGCTGGTCCGCGATGCCTCGTTTGAGAAACGCAGTCTGGGCGCCTAGGATGACTGATTCTTCGTGGAGTTGGCGGGCGTGGGTTGACAGGTCGTCTGCGCGTTGCACGAGGTTCACAGAGGATAGGGCGCGTTTGGCGGCAAGGAGATGTTCGACAAGGACTTCGACGGGGATGGTGTCAGGGTCGAGGAGTTCACCGTCATCAGACTCGCCTCCATCGTGCTGGGGCAAGCCATGGGCAGCGTGGTGCTCATGGAATGAGGGTGGGTTTGGATTTGGAGAGGTTGACATCGTGATAGCCTGACGCTAAACGGACCCGGACGCCGGATGCTAAAGGCTGGTGGGTGTTTTCGATGTGTTCGTCGACAAGAGCTGCAGTTTGGGAGCTATCCAGCTGTTTTGATCACATCTTGGGTGGTGCAATACCTATGTCGACGAGAGACTGAGGACGAGTGCTACCCGGCAGTTAAGGCTCCAGCTAACGATAAAAGGGTCGACGCCTGCGGGCGCACTGGGCAGTTGTTGGTCGCATGTTACCTACAGTTGACGCTGGAGACGGAGTCCACGCACGTCAGGCTGGCTTAGTGCCAATGGCATGTGCTTGCCTTGCAGCGTCCTATCGTCAAGGTCCAGTCAGATAAGCTTTGAGACAGGGGCCGATCCGCTGCCATGCTCCCCGGTCTAGGCTAGTCTTGTGTATCCGTAAGTGAGACATCCCTGCATGGCCATGCATCCTGCATCCGGCTCAGTGACGTTACCTAGGTACCTAGGTACTGTCCTGATATTTCTACACTCAAGATCAACCGGGTAATTTATTCAAATCCGCTCCCACCTAGTTAATGATGCTTGAGAAAAGCATAATTGGCAGACAAGCTATCCTTCCAGCATGAGTAACCATGTCCACTCCTGTCTATATCACGAGAGGACACGGGAACATGGCAATCCTCCAATACTGTTACTATAACAAAGGAGGCTCCTACATTGATGTTGTAACAGTGCTGGACTTGCACCCAAGCCCTTCGAACTTGTGATGGAAATTATCAAGATAATGATATTCTTTCTTGATGGGGAGTCTTGCCCTGGGTAGTTTTCTATGTGGTGATGTATTTATTGGCAATTTTATCAAGACTAGTCTCACGATTTGGCACAGTGTGGTATAGTGTGTTGCATGTGTGACTACTTGATGCGTACTGAGTGTAGCATTAGTGAGGATATGGGTTGAGCTGGAGGGCCTGGTGTTATTATTTGGCTCTTTCTATAAAAAAGTGGTTTCAAAAGCTTGGTTACCTTGGATGGATGTCAATCAAGCTCCTGCTACATGTCCATGTCAGAACTTCGGTGTGAAATTGCTGTCATGTTTGTGGCTTCCTTATGTATCCTTGAGGATTTTGCAGTCGCCGCCCAGACAAACTTGCAGTGCATCATTATTACCTCCCAGGCCTTCTCCTTCTCCTGCTGCTGCTCTCCTTCCCTACTTCCCTCCTTCTAATGTTTATTCTTCTTCTTCTCGGCTTCCTGCTGCGGGTTTCCGGCGGCGTGCTTTCCTTTGACTGCGCCTTCCGTTGCGAGATATGGACAGTCTTCCCACCAAAGGCTCTGTCACAAGCCAAATGTGTTGCTGTACTAACCACAGGCTAAATACCAACTATATAGATAGCCCCAGCTTTGATACTAATGTCCCTGGCTCCCGACACCTGCCCATATGGTGCAGTGGTAAGATTGCAAGCAAAAACAAATTGAAGTTGGACTAAAAACAAGGGGGGGGAGTCAGGGACCCTCTGTTCAAATTGCCAGAAACAAGCAAAACAAATAACCACAAATGAAAAAACAAAGGCTAGAAAAAAAGAACAGAGGCTAAAAAACAAAACAGAACAATGAAAAAGTTCAAGAAGGGCCAAAAAAGAAAGCAAACAACAGTGGAAACAGCCCCAGGGACGTAGGCCACTGTGTGGCCGAACCCTTTTGCTATCCAGATTTATCGGGATTTTTATTTACATTCCCACACTTGACTACCCCCTAGGTAGATCATCACCTTGCAATCCGATAGAACATCTCGAGGAGCAAAACTAAATGGAAGCAAAAGAATTGTATTGTCTCAGCCTTGCAGGAGGAGCCTTGCCGGCGGCAGCAAGCCTGACCCTGTGAATGACATCACCCCAAGCTTCATAGACTCTAAACACAAACTCGGGTCTCGACGCGTCTCTTAAGAGACAAATGGCACAACGGATTTTCTATTTTTCTGAGAATATCGGGACACAACAACACTATGGAAGCCGGCAACTTTTCGGCTAGGAGGCTGGACAACATCAAGCGCAACAAAGCACTTCTAGAGCATCTCGGGGCTGCTGCACAAGCCCAAGTGGTTCGAGACTCCGCGGCAGCATCTGGTCGGACTGCCCGTCAATCAGCTGGCAAGAGGCAGCGGATAGAGAAGCCCAGAGCTGCGCCGTCAAGAACCTCTGCTCGCATAGCAGCAACACCTGCAAAACCACGATACAATGACGACGGAGATGATTTGGCCCGGGAGTCGACAGTGAGGTCAGCCGGTAAGAGGCGAGCACCAGGCCCCTCCATCAAACGCGACGATTCAGAGGCAGGAGAAGCCCAAGAAGATCCAGCCTCGAACATTGCCGAGTTACAGGCCTCCTGGTCATCGTGGTCACCGTCCGCTTCTCCTCCCATTCGCGATGAGGCCGGCTTCTTCCACTTTGACTCCCATCCTGACTTTACACCGAATAAATCCCCTGCCGAGGTCGTGCGGGAAGGCGCTTTTGGTGGATCCTACTTCCGGCCTCTGTACTCCAAAAAGCTGGGCATTACCATCCATGACGACTGCCCTGACGCCCTAGCAAAAGGTCTCGATGCGTCATACTACCTCACGTCCCCAACGTACAACCCTGAAGCAAACAAGTTCAAGGTCGCCTGTGGACAGAGCATCGAGCAGTGGGAGGCCAATGGCTGGATCAATCACCAATTCGATG